TGAGGTGGACAAGTAAATTAAATCTGGCTAGGCAGATTTTTCTATTTATAGAGATATATATGTCATGACAAGTGACACTTTAGTTTGTGGTGGTGGTGCCACAATGCAATGTATTCTTCATCAATCATTTGACTTCTGGCACTATTCCTCCAAACTAGCGGTAGAGCTAGTGTATGGATTATAAGTAGAATTTAATAATTTTAATTTTGAATTTGTAACAAAATGATTATTAATATTAATATATATAAATTATTAATTTAAAATTTTAAATTTTGACTCCGATCCAATTCGTCAAAAATCTTTTTAACTCTCAGGATTTTACGCTCTTACTATATATCTATTCTTGATCTGACAAAATTTTAAATGTTATTTACTACTATAGTTATCTATGACATTTGCTCTTACCAAAATGGTGGACCAACATTACTTTTGTAACCGTCTTGTTGAATATGAAGTCCAACGATTTTTTTTTTATCAAATTAAGATAATGTATTTAATGAAATGGTGAAATGCAACATACTCCATTATATTGATAAGATCGAAATTCTTGTTACGCATTGTACTTTTTTTTTTTATATGTAAATTGGATGTCACTATCTTGATATATTACCACAAATCATCAACAAATTAAAATTCGTTTTTCAACTAGTCAAGGACGATAGCAACTTAGAACAGACAATTATTAACTTATTTTAGTGGGTGTATTTGATTCATTGGAAATAATTGCAAAGATTTTCATCATGCATCTTGTTCGATCAGAATTCAGCGACAAAGTTATGATTTTAACTTTATAAATTTTGAATTTTATGATTGTGATTTAAAGTGATAGTAACTAGACTCTTCTAAATTTAATATTTATATATATTTAATGAATTTATTAATATAAATATTAGTGTTTTAAAAGGCAAGGCGTGAGACAGTGTGTTTTACTTCGTATAGGATGAGGTGTAAGCTTCGAGGCATTGGGGTAAGCGCTATGGATCTTAATTTTTTTAATTTACAATATAGTATAATAATACAAAATTAGAAAAAGAATACATCAAAGTGTGAAATAATTATATACACGATTAATGAAACTCATAGAAAATAACTTCTAACATGAAATAAATCTTGTATGTTAACTTTTCAACAGTAAAAGAATTATTATTTCCAAAAATATATATTTTTAACGTACTATACAATTCACCTAATAATCAATAAAACTTCTAATATTATAATAAAAACATCACTCCATTATATTTGTAAAAATAACAACCTAGGTAGGATCGAAATTCTTGTCACGCATCGTATTTATTTTGGTATATGTAAATTGGATGTCACATCTTGATATATACATAATCCATCCGATATTACCACAAATTCTCAACAAATCAAAATTCGTTTTTTTTTTTTTTTAAAAAAGTTTATCAAGAACGATAGCGACTTAAAACAAACCATTATTAACTATTTTAGTGGGTGTATTTGATTCCTTGGAAGTGGTAAAGATATCGTAATCTTACCCAACAGTGAAATTAAAATGTTAACTTTATATATTTTATAATTACCATTTTAAATGATAATAACTGAATCCTAAATTTAATATATATATTTAATGAATTTATTAACATGATATTTATCGAATATATTAACATAAATAACTCACATGCAAATTACTACCTCTGTCACTGAATTCTTACTATTGGGAGAGATGTAAAATAGTAAAAAATCAAGTATGTATATTATAAGTATATAAATAAGACGAGTGTGGAGCTTCATATTGAAGCACGAGAGTGTCGGCATTGTTTTGTTTTGTTTTGTTTAAGGGACAGTAAGGCACTGCTCATGATGCCTCATGTGAACTCTAGATATACATATTTAAATGTAGTCTTCAATATTGTTACGCCTAGAATTATTCATTTGTCCTTTGCATTATCGTATGTCATGCCCTTATTTGTATACATACGAGTATACGAGTCTACGTATTATATTTGTATATCTTCTCATGTGACCTCCTTCTACAACGATAGGTATATGGAAAGAAACGTTTTATGAGTTCAGACTTACTATTTATTGCAATTTTAGTGAATAAAAGCACATAAATTTATGTTTTTACGTCAAAAGAGTTCTCTGTATTAAGATGAACACGCAACTGAGAACGCAGGTAGATAATCGAGTTTTGTCTTAAGATGAACACGCAACTGAACGCAGATAGATAGATGTATACGAACTCTCATCCTAATCCCCAGCTATTCCTCTTCGGTTATCCTATTTTTTACTTTTTTCCAATATTATATTTGTTGTTGTTGTGACGTTACACATGCTGGAATTCACCATTTCTTTTCACATGAGCAAAACAATATCACCCTGTTGTTCATCATTTGTCTCCCACCTTCAAGAGCTATAGGCCCATTGGACTGTGCAATACCAAAATATAAATCTAAATTGGTCCATCCTCCTTTATATCATTGGGCCTAGTCCAGTTTCCTTTCAAATAAAAGAGCCTCATACAATGTCATCATTGTCCAAGAATACGTATCCATTTAGCTAACTAGTTAAAAAAATTAACTTATTTAATGATAATACTATATTTTAATAATATTAATAAATATGTCAAAAATGTCATTATTTTAAAAATAAATAATTATTCTGATATTATTAATATTTTCTCTCTCATTATTTACAACCTTTTTCTCTCTCTCATAGATTACACATTTTTCTATATTTATGTAATTAGATAGATATTAAAATCATTTTAATTTTTCTCTCTCTTTTCTTAAGCTTATCAATTTCTGTCTCATACTTTCTTTCTTATTAAATCCCCAGATTTTTCTCTTTTTTCTTACTCTTCTTTTCAATTTCTCTCTCTAACATTCTTCCAAATCAATTCTACAGATTTTCGATTCAATATATTAATATTTTCTATTATTCTCATTTAATTTCGTTGTAAGATTTGATTTGAAAATTAACATTGATTTGGGTATTATGTTTTTCAGATTCCTTATTTATTTACCTGCTGATTTTAGTGTTTTTTGTTGTTCTTAAAACATTTTTTAAGATTTGAGACTATATAATTCTATCTTCAATGGACGTTTATAAGAGAATTACTAGAGGTATTGGACAAAATAATCAAAGTTCTTCCGATTTTCTATCATTTATTTTTTTTCCACTCAAGAATTAAACAACAATATAGGTTCCGCTTGTAAATCTAAGGAGGATATACGACGGAGAAAAATGCCTGAATCCGTCGATGTACAAAATTCCACACAAATTTTTAACCATGAAGTTGAAGAAGACCAATTTGTTGGAGAAGAGATACTTCTTTTTTGCATGTACTGTGTTTTGCATGTTTAGTTTAATTTGTTTAGTAATATGTAAGATTCAAAAAAATTCATGTTACAATGCATTTGGAAGTATATATGGAATTTTTATAATGTTATAGTTAGTATTTATTTTTGTATTTTATATATTTATTGTATTTTGTGTTCTTTTTTTTTTGTGTGTGTTAGTTATGTCAATGTAACACATTATATGAGTTTGATTGTGTATATTTCATAGTTTTAATGTTTTTTGTATTCATAGATTTGGAAGTGTATATTGAATTTTGTTGCTGTTTTAGTCGGTATGTATTTTTGTATTTCATTGTTTTATTGTATTTTGTATCCATAGATTTGGAATTGTATTTCATATATTTAATTCATTTTGCATTCTGTTTTTTTGTGATAGTTATGTCAATGTACCACATTTAGTATTTATTTTTGTATTTCATAGTTTTATTGTTTTTTGTATTCATAAATTTGGTAGTATATATTGAATTTTGATACTGTTTTAGTCAGTATGCATTTTTACAATTAATAGTTGTATTCATTATATTGCATTGTTTCTGAATTTGATATTTTTTTCTAATTTGTATTTATTCTAAAGGTTTGTCAACTAGTTATGTATTTTATTTAAGAATGAGAACACCAAATATTCAATTATTTCTTTTCAATTTTATATTTCATTCACTTTTTCATCATACTAATTTTTTGTATTTTATATATTATTATACAAATTCTAAATAAAAAATAGAATAAATAGAAATACAAATAAAATAAATATTTAAATGAACACATACAAGATTTTTGAAGAAAAAAATAACTATATAGGGAAAAAAATTATATGAATACAAATATATTTCTTAAATGACTATATAGATACATTCAGCATACCTATTGAAATGAATACAAACTATTAAAAAACTATAATAAATATAAATAGAATATATCGTGGAATGAATATAATTTTAAAAAAGTAAAAATTCTGGAGAAGAAAAAGAACGAAGTTTAAATTTTATTTGAGAATGTAACTAATGAGAAAATTAAGTGATCCTTACCTTTTTTTAAATATTCTCTCGCTTGATTTTCTCCCTTTTATTACTAAATAATTATATTCTTTAAATAAAAACAAATAATAAAAACATAATTAACAAATGTATATATGCTAAAATCAACAAATGTATATATGCTTCTTGTTGTGAACCCAACTGTGTCAAGCTTCTGCTCCATAAGTCAGATTTTAATTTGTTTTGATCATTCATGTCATAATCTTTTTATGGGGTGAAACAATACAACAATACCATTCTCAGTTTAATCACACAAGTGCAATTTGAAAGTAGTAAAGATTTATGTAGACCTAACCTTTACCTTTGCAGGCAAAATGTTATTTATGATAAACCGTGGCTCAAAAGAAAAGGTCAAAAAGATTATGATAAACCGTTGCTCAAAAGAAAAGAGACCACAAAACAGCAATGTATAAATAAAACAAGTTTATCAACAAATAATAAATGGATAAAAGAAACTGCCTGCGAGATTCAGTAAAGCAAAATCAAACTTCAAATTAACTACAATCAAACAATTGCTAGCAATATCTCTCTACCCCAGTAAGAGCAGCTGGAGCTTCTGGTTTCCTGAGTGATTTTGTGACACAAGTTTTAATAGCATGATGATGTCTGAAGATTACCTGATGTACTGAACACATGCATATGTGATGAAATCGGGGGAAAACAAAGATACATTACAAATAATAAAATTGTGATAGAAACACAAAAGCCATGACTACAACACATTGCCAAAACATTGATCTCTTGCCCTACAGAATACAGACAACAATCCAATATCAAACTGTGAAAATCTTCCCATTTTCCTTCCACCACACAACACTAGACCTCTTCCGAATTATGTCTACTAAATGTTCTACAAAATCTTTTAATAATTACTAAAATGGAAGAGGGGGTGGGGGGGGGGGTGGGGGGGTTTGCTAATAGTATGTGGTGTTGTTAAATAACTCTCTTCAGACACGTCACTGCTGAGTGATGGGCATATCACGGAACGATTGGTTTACTGTCCCAAGCCTCTCTTACTTCGACTAAATCCGGACGGTATCTCTTAGCTAGAACTTCTACTTGATCAGTAAATGACTTGTTTCCAAGTTGACCTATGTGAAGAATCATTTGGTTCCATCTCTTTCGACATATCTCTCCAGGCCTGTGGTCAAGAAGATTGTCCCAGTCCACATCTTCTATGCAGCTTGCATCCAGCTCAAAAAGTGCATCAACTAGGCGATAGTCATCAGTATCCGCCCATTCACCTTTGGCCACCATGGGTGATGTCAATTGATCATACCATTTTAAGCAGCAATTTGCATCAGTTCTCGTGGACAAGTTTTCACTTATTGCACCCCATGCAATATTATCCCGTAGCATCCCATGCTTAGATTTTTTCTCTTCAGAAAGCTTCAGTCTCAGATCGGTGTTTACTAAATCAAACAAATTCTGGTACTCCTCTTGAGTCCATTGTCCTTTATTTCGATTGGGCAGTTTTATCCTTCGCCATGTATCCTTCACATGCCACCGATGTTTTCCAAGTTCATCAGCTAAGACCTTCCAATTATTCCCATGCTCTTTCTGGAACTTCAGTACCATCTCATACTCTTCTTCAGTCCATTTACGTGATTCACTCCTTCGAAACAGGACCTGTGCACGACAATAAAATGCCTTAGAAGGTCTGTATGGTAGAGCACTCCCAATTTCTTTCCAGCAACCCTTTATTTCAGGATAAGATCTAGCATTTAAAACCTTTTTCAGCCCTTCTTCGCCTAAGTTATGTACCTCTATGTATTTATGAACAGCCTCTTTGATAATTTCATCTTCTAACTTTGAGAATCGCTTGCCATGCACTAAATTTTCTTCCTCGATCTCATGCTTCTCATCACTTGAATCATTCAATGAAGGGAAAATCTGAACCTGACCAGAAAATCTCACTCTCTTTTCACTCTTTTCATGTGTAGGATCTTCAGAGCTGTGTCCTACTTTTTCCCTTTTTCTCTTTTTGATTTTACCTTTGTCTGTTTTGATTTTATCTTCCATCTCTATAGGTGAAAAAATATCACCTTCATTGACTTCAGCAGCAAAATCTTCACGTATATCCTTAGTATCATGCATTTTCTCCAGCTCATCCCCACAGCTTTTCTTCAATTTCCTACTTTTATTCCCTTCAATAATTCTCGTAACCTCATTGCTGTCTTCACTAAACTTCCCAGAACGTTTTCCATGTTTTCTTTCTTTCTTTCTCTTGATGTCAGAGTCATCACTCTTAACTTTAATATCAGTGTTTGTCACATCTACACCATTGATAGTCTTAATGTTTTTCTTGGACTTCTTCTTCCTTGTAATCACGTCCACAACGTCTCCACCAGAGACCTCACCAAGGGTCTCAACTACCTTGTCATTGTCCCGCATTTCAGTTGCACTTGCAGGAGCACTAGTTTTGGTGTCTAAAGGCTCATTCAAGTAGCTTTTCTTCAGCTTATTCTTTTTCTTTTTCTCAACACATTTCACAGCATATTCATCGCTGACTTTGTTGGGTTTTCCACCTTCTCTTTTTTTCTTTCTCTTAACGTCACACTCATCACTCTCTCCTCCAAGACCACTTGAGGCAGCATTCTTATTGCTTTTCTTGGATTTCTTCTCCAGCTTACGAAGCATACCCTCCTTCTCAACTCCTTGGACCATGACTCTTTCAGATTTATCAATTATGTCTTTCTGCAAAGCGCCAAAAGTGGTTTCTCTGCCAAAAAAGAAAAAGAAAAAGAAAAGCACAGTCATAATACGAAGTATACTGCAATCCCATACTGAGACTACCCAGAAAACATTGACAAACTATCACTGATCACTCCTTTACTTTATTAGTTACAAAATTTCAGCCCATTCTCTTCTGTCATTGTTAGCACAATATTATCTTTTTTCATAATATGGTTAGGTCGAGGGCTTCTTTACGCAGAAAAATCAAGATGGTTAATTCTCTTAAAGTTAAGCTCTTTGTGAAATTACTAGCTACTACCTCGGAGAGGTAGTGAAAAGACATGCATACACTCTACCCTCCTCTGACTCCACTTTGTGGAATTTCACTGGGGTTTGTTGTTCTTGTTTAGAAATTATATCCAGAAGAAATAAGAAGATGACCTTGAAGGGAGTAGAAATGAAGACAAACCAGAGAAAGAAGAAGCATTGTGGTTCTAATGTTTTAATGGTGAACTCAAATAAAATTTGAATGTCATTACAAACTGAATCAAGACCACTAAAACTTTTTTCTGTACATGTCATATATCATATACTGCAAATACTGGACTGGAGCGAATCTTCTCCCATCAACGAAAACATACTTTGATTTCCTTTATTTAAACATTGCTTTTTATTGGTAATGAAATAAATCATAAGCATATTCGACCTTAATTCAGTAGAGAAAGGCAGAAACAGTAATTTGATTCTATTAGAATAGAATAGAACTAGCTAACTGACAGAGGCACAACAAGTTATCAGACTAACAATTGAAACAGTACAACCTACACACAGCAGTTTGCATTTTTCTAAGAGTCACACCAACATAGCTGACAAGTAAGTTCCAATGGTGAAAACTCGTTTCAGGATTCACAACAGATTAAAAGCAGATTCTCCTTCTAACTAAGTTCTAATCCCTAAAGCTAAGAAGTTCACACATCCCGGTTAGTTCCTTACAAGGGCGGCTTAACCCTAGGCCCCAAAAAATAAGTGCCTCCAAAGAACCAAAAAAATCACAAATTCAGGTAGAAAAAACATACTGAAGATGCACAAAAATGAAACAAATTCCAGTAACAGGCAAGTTTAAACGAAGAACCAAAGGAGATACATACATAAAAGAGACGCCCAGATCTGATGAAATTACGCCGGGAGAGTAAGAGAGTTCAACGACTTAAGTCGGCGGCGACGGACGAGACAGTCAGATGAAAAAATGGAGCAAAACGTTAAGGGCTGGGCATTGAAGGGTTTAGGAAAGAGTCGTGTACAGTCCTCAAGTAATGATAATTTTGGTTCCTTAATGAGTAGTATTATTTTATTACAAAACCCGTTTCTTCTCTTTTTAATTTTTTCAAAATTGGTGGAGGTATGTATGTACAAAGGGACTAGTGAGAGTATTTTTTTGTTTGATATTATTAGAAAAAAATATATAATTGAACAAAAAAGAACAATTATTCATGGCACTTTTGGTTAAAATTTTCAAATTTTCTTCGTGCATATTAATTGAACTTTTATCATCATAAATATTCTAACTAATTTTCTACTCCATTCGTCCCTAATTACTTATTCATTTTGATAAATTAAAAAATAATAAGTTTTTGAGTTGAAAAAGCACTATCTCGTTGAAAGGTTCTATACGTCTGCTCTTTCTCAACGCATTTCTTTAGACAAAGACTCTATCTTTTCCTCTTTTCGGATGATAATTCTTTCTCAGAACATGGAGTGTGAATCAAATTCATGTTTGACTTATTATACCCTCAATTAAATGACGAATTACTTTAAAAGATATAACAATTTTCATCTACTTCATAATTAATAGGGATAAAATGATAAACTCACTACGTTATTAATTATTTTCTTAACAGTATGTCAATTCAAAAGTGAATAAGTAAAAGGGACGAAAAATCGAGTATAAACTAAGCAAGTTTACTTTATTATTGATAATAAATATTAATGAAAGAGAAATTCATTTGTGTATGAAAATAATCACATCTTATAGTATTTTATGTATGTTTTTAAAAATTTTAATTTTAAATTATTGAGTGAATTCTATTAAAATTAAATTTAAAAATTAATTAAACTAACTATTAATATCGTGTCAAGTATTTTAAACGAAAGAAATATAATAAGATATTTTTAATTTATAACATAAAATTTTGTATCAATACTTTGCGAATTGATTAAATTTTGTGTTAAGTTATAATGTCGCGACGAACATATCCTATCTATCACATCTAACCCAAGAATGATTTCATTTGAGGTAAGTTCTCAATTAAAAAGGAAGAAACCCACAAATAATATTTTTTAAATTATATGTATATAAATTAAATCTTAGTCCTAATTGTTTCAAAGTGCGAAAGCTAATCATCTCAATATTGGAAATGTTTAAACTGATTATGATTACTATTTTCGTCCACTTTTAATTATTTTATTTTCTTATTTAGAGTAAAATTGTTAAAAAATTGGCTAATATTTTATGATGTGTTTTTTTATTATATTAATATGCAGATAATTTCAATCTATTGTATTTTTTTTAATTGTTCTTGAACTTCTATTTTTTTTTATTTAAAATATCAAATTAATGTAATTTTATTTTTATTTTAAAAATTGATCAAATTAATTTTTGAAACATACAATTAAAAGTGGACGAAATGAGCATAAAAAATCAAATTAATATAATTTAATTTAACTTTAAAAATTAATCAAATTAATTTTTAAAAACATAACCTAACAATTAAAAATGACCAGAGTAAGAATAAAAAACATATACTCTATTTAACTCTTCCAATAACAATATACCAACTAGTAACATTTAACTCTTCAAATAACAATAATACTAATTTTTTTTAAAAAAAGTAAAAGTTTCATATATTTTTTTCAAATTCTAAATGATTTTTTTGTGTGACCAAACGCCTAATAAGTAAGTTCTTTTTCTTTTTTTTTCTCTCCATTTCCTGGGTTAAGGATAATTGAATTGCTTCTGAATTAGTTTCTTCTCCATCTCCGGTCACCAGACGATCGAGGTTCATTTCGCAGTGATACTATGGTACTTTCGTCTTCTATTTCAATATTCCTGGTGATTTACAAGTTGTTAGGTCAATGGATCAGACTGATTTCATTGTAGATTGTTAATCTCCATTATCATCCTTAGCGATTCGTATTCAATTCACAGTTTTACGGAATTTTAGCTACAGGATTCGGTAGTTATTACCTTATCCACTATAATTGTTTACGTAGAATTCCTATTCAGTTCATTATTTGTACCCGGAGATTTGGTTTTGTAGTCTTTTACAAACTTGTTTTTTTAGTTTTATATCCTTTTTATATGAGATCTTCATTTTTCGAGATTAAGATAGCTTCATTATTAGATTAAAGAATTAGCAATTGTCCCATCGTGTGGGGGGATAAAGTGAAAAGAGAATTACGAGTTCTCAAGTTCAATATCTGCCCTGAACAAAAATAGCTAAGCGTTAAGGGATAGAATTACTCGCTCCATGTTTCTGGTATTGTTTTCCTGCATTATTGTTATTTTACCCGTTCATTATGTGATTGGTCGATTTATATTTGCATTTTGAGATGAAGGTTTCTTTTAGGGAATGCAATACTCACTACACTGGTTGAATTTACACAAACTAAAAACGATATGTGCATCATATATAAAGGTGATCAACTTTATATGTGTTCTTTTTTATTAATCATGGTGTCTGAGTCAGCTCGCATGCACCTCAGCTAATTTCACGTGATATGTAATTCCATTGGTCTATCAAGACTAGGACAGATGGGAAAAAATCACCTAGTATTTTTGCCTCCACTGATATTTGAACTTGAGACCTTGTGTTTCTTAACTCACTTCATTGACTAATAGTCTATTATTCATGTTCCAGAATAATATTTTGATGTGTTGATGTAGGATTAGCTGATTCCAGAATAGAGGAAATAGGAAAGGAGAGGAAAGCAACAACATGGTTCTATGCTTAATTACAGCCAGCTCAATTTTCTATCTGCAGCCTGGACGTTCAAGATATCTTCAGAAATGTATGAGAATCCAGAATTGTGGGAGATATCTCATGAAGCATGTTGATATTACAAGGCAAAAGATTATCCCTTCTGCTAGAGTAGATACAGTTGGTTTGGAGGTTTTTGTAGTTTCAGACTTGCATACAGAATACGAGGAGAACATGGCATGGTTAAAGGGTTTACCAAAAAAGGGAAAGAAAAAGGAAGTGCTTCTCGTTGCAGGTGATGTTGCGGAGACTTATGAGAAGTTTGTGTTAACTATGTCCCTCTTGAAGGCTAGTTTTGAGCACGTGTTCTTTGTGCCCGGAAACCACGACCTTTGGCTCCGTAGGGAGAAAGAGAATTATGTAAGCAGTCTTTCTTCATATCGTTCCATGAAGATATTATTTGCAGAATTTAGTTCAATAGCAATGTGTAGAATTGCATCATATGTCACTAGTTCTTGTTGCTATTTTACATTAATATGTCATGGTGCCTCGTTAAAATTATTTTGTGACATTATGGGATCTTGTCGCTTATGGGGACTTTAAGCTGAGGAGAAATTCTCCTTTTGAAGCATTTATAGCTGCATTTTTTATGCATGCCCCTTTTTTCAATCAACAACATTGCCTTTAAGACAGTCTTATTAGGTTTAGGTCTCCAAAACTTTGTCCATGCAGAAAAAAGTTAACACTTGAGAATGAATATTGGTGGTGTTTCCTCTCCTCCTCTCCCCTTTTCCCTCTTCTGTTTGCATTGAAGCAGCATATTATTTTTCCTGCTATTATGGTAGTTTTGTTAAACTAAAAGCAAGACCACATGATTAATGTGATGCATCCGCTGTATTCAGATTGATTCTCTTCAAAAGCTGGATAAAATGCTTGATGCATGTCATAGGCTTGGAGTGGAAACTAATCCCAGTGTCATTGATGGTTTGGCAATTATTCCTCTATTCTCATGGTACCATGAGGTAAATCTTACTGTGAAATAGCAAACTATTTCTTTTTTGCAGCTGGGTCATTCTGTGCACATCTTGATGTCATTTCTGCTTTATCCCAGAGCTTTGATAGGGAAAAGGACATACCTGGCATCCACATTCCTTCTTTGGAGCTGGTGATTCACTTTCTTTCTCCTTGTAAGGATTTTATCTTTTAGTTTGATGATATGTTAGTTGTTCCCTCCTCAACGTTGCTTTCTTTGAAAATAGATAAAAGTGAGCAAGTGCTTACTGACAACTGAAACTGAAATGAGAAGTGCTTACTTGACTTCCTCGTTATCACTGAATTCATCTAAAAGTAAGTCAATTTGTTAGCTCTTCCATCACACTCAGTGTGCTCTGAAGTAATGTGCATCCTTTTGCACTTTGTTTTTATCAGTAAAAGATTTCATTGGTCCAAGGAAAACGTCCTTTTTACCTTGGGGTGACTTCAACCTTTCTGTTATGGGTAGGTGAGTATATGGGGATAATAGTTGATATTGCAAGCTACTTGCTCATCTTCTTTTGTGTCTTATTTATTAGCTATCTTTGTGACTCTTCTGTTTCTGGCTGCTTTGGATGCACTTCCTCTGTTCTGAGCCTGGTCATTTTATTACTTGTATTGTAGCATTTCTGTGTTTTTGGTGAGTTTGGAATTCTCAGAATTTTTTTTTTCTTTCAAAAAGTTTTCCTATCTATTGATTTATATGATACTTGTAGTTTACTGATTCTGTGTTCTATGGTAGACTGCTAGTACACTGCAATGTTACTGTTGTAATTCACTCTTATCTTTTATGCCACAGGCATGTAAGGACTTCCGTGCATGCAAGTGGCCCGACGGACTCACAAATGGAGATAACTCCCTTGCTACACATTTTGATGCCATGAATGACAAAAATCAGGATACAGTCCAGGAAATGCTGGCAAGCTGCAACCAGATAATTTCATTCTCACACTTCATTCCAAGGTGAGTGAGTAGCTCAGACAATTCCAAAATTTTCTGAGTTGCTATCTAAATTTGATTGGTAATGGTTGAAAAACCTCAGTCTCGCACTACAGTAGAGACTTCTAGTAGGATTTAATGAGGTTGATGTTTGTTAGATAGTCCTGAAAATTTGGTGTTGCCATTTTCAAAAAAAAAGACCCGCTGAAAATTTGCCCCTTTTCTCCATTATAGATTACCAATTTGACATATCAGTGATAAACATAAAATGTTTGATATCTCAGTGGTTGGCTTTTTCCGTGTCAGCGAACCATGTTTCCACTATGAGGTACCTGCCATAAGTGATGTAGTTCTTCTAGACTCTGTAGAAATGTGACTATAATTTCCTTTCCATTCCCCATTGAGTATGCCATATCCCCTGATACGTTCTGTAAAACATCACATACCCATCACAAGATTTTCGTCCATCATTATTTGGCCCCGCTCGATGAACACGAACCATCTATAAGAATCCTCTTTATATTAATTTATTCGAAAGTTCCCCCTAAAATGAAATATATTTTGTCACCCATGAAAAAATAAAGTAGCACCATAGAGGGGACTCGCCAGAAAGAGCATAGTGTAGCAAAGAGAGAAGGGGACACATTTCCCAAGTCAGAAATTGCTGTGTTACAAAGCTAAACTTCTCTAATGCTACTTTTATCAATACATGCATCAAGATAGAGGGACTTATTTTGCCTTTTCTTTGGGCTGCCTTAAGGTGGGTGCGGTGGGGGTTTGGTAGGGGCAGGGCGCAATGCATTCTTAAAAACTTATGATTCATCAGAGTAGTGGGCATTCCACCTCACTGGCACTACGAGCTTACGAAATAATCAAGGTTCAGAAAGATTATGTTGAGGATTGGAGTCCTTAAACATCTTATGCTGATGATTACATTGTTTTACCCTGAATGGAACTGTTATTTGTAATCTTTTTTGCAGAGTAGAGCTTTGTCCAGAGAAGAGAATGCTTTTCTATCCTAACCTTCCAAAAATGATTGGCTCTGACTTTCTTGAGGCCCGTATAAGATACATACATGGAGATAGAGGGAGCACAAACGCTTGTCATATTTTTGGTCACACCCATTTCTGCTGGGATATCCTGCTTGATGGTATCAGGTGTGTTCTGTTCTTGAATGCATTAGACTGCTTATTCACATAAACACTTGCTTGAAAGGAATTTCAATTGAAGCAATATTTATTGTGTATAACCACTTTTTGCTTTTCTCCTTTGGGTTCTGGTCTTACAATATGACAGACAAAGATCAAGTTAGCTTCAGTAATGGACAGTTGAACGTAGGAGTTGAAACTTGTTGTGAATAATTCGAAACCTCAAGTTCATTTATCTGATGCAGGTATGTGCAGGCGCCATTAGCGTATCCAAGAGAGAGGAAAAGAAGAATGAATGGAGGAGAAGATTGGCTGCCATTTTGCATTTACTCTAATGGTGAACTCACTGAGAATATGTCCCCCTGTTACTGGTCTGATTATTATGCCTCTAATCCTAGAACCCCTGATGTAACTGAACTTGCCCCATGGGTTGCCAGATTTTATCGTAAGCTTTAGCAATCTCTACCCCATTCTTTTGTACCATCACCATTCTGTAATTTGATTTAATTAGTCATTACATTCTTTCAGTTTTCCCGTTGTCACTCGTACAGATTCCTTTTATAGGAAATGACTGAAAAATGTATCCTGCCATGAGCATCTTAAGATGGAATTGCCTCTATATATGCAAGTAAACAGAGACATAGAATGTCCAATAAATAAATAATAAGACGGATAAAAGGTAGACTTTATTCATGCTATTACTGGTCTGGGATTATCGTCTTGATTTCTGAAACTTAGGAGATGTGCAGGCAGCTACATACAGAAGTATTTAAACGCAGAAAAAAACATCAGAAGATGGAATGAAAAAACAACCATAAACTGGACTACAAACATCACATAAGTTTTTTAAGCACAATCCTTTTTTATTCACAAATGAAGGACTCTCTTAGTAATCTTCTGGTGCCAAGGGCTGGTGGGTCGTGGGTCGTGGAACAGTTTCATGCTGTATGATCCCGTACTCGTAGATAAGTCCAGCCAGGGCTGCACCGATGAAAGGGCCCAACCAGTAGATCCAATGGTTCCTCCACCTCCAACCCACTAAAGCAGGTCCAAATGCCCTTGCCGGGTTCATTGATGCACCCTCAAAAGGCCCTCCCACCAGGGTGTTTGCCCCCAGAATAAATGCAATAGCAAGAGGGGCAATGGTGCTCAAGCTTCCCCTCCTTGGATCAACAGCAGTTGCATATACTGTGTACATTAGTCCAAATGTCATCACTATCTCCATCACAAGTGCATTCAAGTTACCCACCCCTGCTGCAACCGAAAATCCCCGTGGCCGCTGCACCAACACAAACAATTACACCTCAATCTTAAAACAACAAACAAAAAAAACTAGATTATTTTCTAGTTATTACCAAGCCATCAGTAGCAAGCCTCAACAAAAGAGAAGCTAAAACAGAACCAAAAAGCTGAGCAACCCAATAATAGATAGCACGAACAACAGAAATCCTGCCTCCCACAAGTGAACCAAAGGTAACAGCTGGGTTGATATGTCCTCCAGAAACATTCAGACTAGAAGCTACAGCTGCAAAGAAGGAAAACGCATGCGCCAACGCTATCACTATCAGTCTTGATGACCCTAACCCCGTATCTGGATACAACTTGTCTGCACCAAAAAAAAAAATCCATAGTAAAACAACATTCAAATTCAAATATAACCTTGGTAGACAGAGTAACCAGTTAGTTGTGCTAGTGAGAGATAAGAAACATGTTAAAACAACTTCACAAACTTCATTTTTATATCTTACCAATAGCAAGAACAGAGCCTTCACCGGCGAAAACGAAGATGAAGGTGGATAAGAGCTCAGACAAGGTGGCTCTCATGGAATCAGGATGAGTAGCTTCATCGGCCCTACCAAAAGCATATCTCCTAGCTGGCATAGCCATAACACCAATAAATCAGCTGTCAATGTTGAGAACCTTTATTTAGTAATCTATAAATCGAGATTCTTAATTTTATCGAGTGACCCAAGAAATGAAGAAAAGATAAAAGATGATCAAGAAGGAGATAGTGTTATAGAAAAATGAAGTTTGGAATGAAGTGGACACTTGGGTGATCGTTTGCATGAAAATTGACACGTACTACATAGGTGTCTATTTCAAATCCAATTAAACACCGTTTTCTTCTTACACCTAAGACTTACGTCAAAGTCCATCCATACTAGTACTAGGATTAAATCAAAACCATTTTCGAGTTTTTTCTATTTTATTTCCTCAATTTCATCTTCATCCACAAATTGCAAGAAATGAAGTGTGGGCTCTATTCTAATCGTCATCCATTTTGCTTGCTTGCAGCCAAAATCAATTGGTCCCACTTCAGGAGTTTCTTGGCTACTAGTACACGTATTATGTACAAAATGGGAACACTTCCCAAGTTTGTTTTTTTTTTAAGAAAATAAATATGATCTTGAGGTTACTCCTTAAGTTGATTATAAAAAATATATATTTTTTTGAATTAGAAGTTTATATTAGTATAGTATTATTTTCAGGATGTATGAAACCAAACTGTAAATTTGTTTTTATCTCCAGGAATTTAATGACAATTACTATGTCTTTGATATACGAATTTTGAGTTGATTAATTATACGTTTGTTGTGACCTAACTACACCCTTTATCCTTCAATTGAACTTGAGACAATCACACCTTCCAAATTTTTGTATGGAATTTATTCTAATTAATGACTCATAAAAAGATGAAAAAGAAAACTGTATATGCTATTCCTACAAAAAGGGTGTTTTCATCAAGGAAAAGATTTAATAATGAAAAAACAAAAACAAAATCAATATCTACAAAGAATTAACTTGTAGAATGTGAGTAAGATCATCAGACTAAGTTTACTCTGCTGTTGAGCTAAAAGCCTCTTCCTACCAGCTTCTCAACCCTTAATTATAGGGTAAGGTATGCACATACTCTATTATACTCTATTATGTAAGAGTAAAGTATGTGCATATTTTATCCTTCTTTACTTTCATGTTTGGTTGGGGTAGGATAATGTATGTGTATACTCTTATCTTCTTTCGTATTTCACCCAATGGGATTAGGTTGGATAATGTTTACACTTCACTGTATTCTCTTCAGACTCCAACTTCAGTTGAGATTATATTGGATATATTTTCAGACTCTTGACTTCGGTTGAGATTATATTGAATGTATTGTTCAAATTCCACCTAATATACTGGATATGTTGATGTCGCTGCCACGGCTTGATTACAATTTAGGAGGGAAAGTTCAAGTCTTCAACTAAGAGATTGAATCATCTTCCACATCAGTGACTAAATTCTTTGGTTCAAGCTCAATCTCTTCAATTCTTCTCAACACTTCACTCATCTTAGGCCTCTTTTCTGGTGCCTCATCAGTACACTGCAAAGCCAATTGAGTAAGCTTCAACATTTCATCATACCCTTCTTTTTGTGCAAGTATTTCCATATCCAAAATGTCTGTTGACCAGTCATTATTCACCACTGTCCTTACCCACTCTGATAAATCATCATCAACATAACTAGTAACCCCATTTTCTGGTGAAAACAATTCACCTGGTATTTTTCCAGTGATCACTTCCAACAGAAGAATACCAAAGCAATAGATATCAGCTTTTCTTGTTAACTTTTTCCCTTGAGAGAACTCTGGAGATTTTCCTACTGCTAATTTTCTTAAGGATTCTTTAGATGGTAACAAAGGAAAGAATCCATAATCTGTCAGCTTAGAATGGTAGTTCTTGTTTTGGTCTTGCTGGATTAGAACATTTTTTGATCTAATGTTCCCATGTGGCACCTTTTGTGATTGTAAAGACTGGTGCAAGAAATTTAGACCCTTTGCTACATCTTTTATGATGGATATTCTTGCTGTCCAGTTTAGTGGTTGTCTCCCAATGCCTCTGTTTTCTGAAATCAAGAATCATAAGTTTTTACATGGTTGAATCTTAAGGGGAAAAAAGAAGGGAAAATGGAAAAGATATTCCTCTATTACTACTACGACAACAATATATTCAGTGTAATCCCACAAAATGCAATTTTGGGTAGAATGTCCACAGACCAACAACATATTCAGTGTAATCTTACAAAGTGCAGTTTGGGGTAGAGTGTCCGCAAACCTTACACCTACCTCAAAGCAATTTCAATTTTCACAGTAGCACTATAGAGAAGGGAAAGCGCACCTCAAAAGTCATTTGATCATGAGTTCATAGTTTAGAATCATAATGAATATGAATATATGAATGACCTCAAAGTATAACACGAGACGTTTTACTAATGATAAGGATATGAATGACCTCAAAGTATAACGGAAGATAAAATTAAGATATTTCGTGTATTTAGACATTTTTCCAAAAGTAAAAGAAAGTTGATGAACGAACCATGCAAGAGCTCAAACAAGTCTCCTTGTGGAACATATTCATAAACAATGAGCTTCTCATCCTTGGAATAGTAGAAGGACATCATCTCCACTAGATTTTCATGTTTCAATTTCCCAAGCAACTGAATCTGTTGTGTGAATTCCTTTTTGCTCAAAGAATTCATTTCTTTGAGTCTCTTAACAGCAACAACAGAACCAGATTCCAGTATTGCTTTATATGTTGTGCTTAGTTTTCCTTTTCCTAAAACTTCAGCTGATGCCCTTAACAAGTCATCCATGTCAAAGACTGACATATCCTTTTCAAAGAATATTAAGTCCAATGTTTTTTCTGGATCTTCTGTGCTCTTGGACCAATAACTTCTCTTTACCACATTCTCTATTGAAATATTACCTGTCAAAATGGAAATGGGAAATGTTAAAAGATGTAATAACAACAATATAAACTGCTCCATCATCTCAATCGGAAACAGTCTCTCTATCCCACAAAAGTAGGGGCAAGGTCTACGTACATCTCAACCTCCCCAGACCTCTCTTGTGGGACTATATTAGTATGTTATTGTTGTTGTATAGCCACAATTCAGGGGCGAGAGACTAGTTCTCAATCTTATTGAGCTAGAAATGATTGAATTCGACTTCATAATGGGCATGTACTGGTTTTCTTTCTATCACGAATTAACCATCTTTAGAACTTCTGGAGCTGCCCCATTCTGGAGCCAACGAGTTCTGAATGACCTTCTTTTAGCGATTAACAAAAATGGTTAAACTATTTCGAGGAAAAATACAGAACACGAAAACTGCCCTGCACCAGATAACCTCCTCATCTAATTCAATCTAAGCAACTTTTCCCCCAGATAAACTGGCACTAGTTAGGATAAGATAGATAATACTACAAAAATCTTACCTTGTTTGTCTTCTCCTTGTGTTCCCTTTCTTTTAGATCTTCTAAAGTAACGGAAAAAGATGAACATGATTGAGACAAGAACAAGTACTGTTACTGCTGCTGCAATCAAAGCAATACTCCATACTTTAAGCCCATTCTTTTTCTTTTCACTTGGTGCTTTAGGTGGACTTGCTGGTGATATTGAACAAGGTATTCCTACAACTTCACCACACAAATTCGCGTTATTCTCATAACTACTCTTTGAAAACCTCTTCAGAACAGGAGTTTCAGGGATAGGCCCTTCCAGTTTATTCGAAGACACATTGAAACCAATCAAACTCTGTTGATTAAATGGTGGAATTGAACCTTCAAGCTCATTCCCCTGGAGCTCCAAATCTGTTAGTTTCTTTAACTCAACGTACCCAAACGGAATCAAACCTGAAAATCGATTATCTGAAAGAAACACAAATTCCAGGTCGATTAGTCCTGTGAGATTAGGAACAGGACCATAAAATAAATTGTTCCTAAAGCTGATTTTTGTCAAATAAGTTATGTGCAACAAGAATGTTGGTGGAAGTGAACCAGTTAACTGAATTCCTTCTAAAACAAGTTGATTTACATGGCCATCAGAACACGAAATTCCAGCCCATTTACTCTGGTTGTAGTAACAAGGAGGCCCTGTCCAATGTGAATGTAAATCAACAACACTTGAATTTACACTATCTCTCAGCTGCAACAAAGCATCTCTTTCATTTGGGAAAAATTCAGCTGATTCCACCACCAGAAACAAGGCGAAAAATAGGATCGTCCTACGCATTTCTGGTCGTGGCAACCTTGACTTTGAAGAATAATAGATAAGTAAGTAATAATAGATTGAGAATTTTTACCAGTTGTATGTAGTAGGTGAAGTGAAATTGAACATTGTGGGGTATAATTCAAACAATGTCAAACACATCAAAAAGTCGAATTTTTTTTTATAGTGATCTCCATTACAGAGTTTTGTTATTTTAGACAGCTTTTGACGTTGTAGACCAAAAAAGATTCCCAAAGAAAGACGTGAAAGCGGAAAGAACAAAGAATATGATTATTATGTAGATTAATATAGTATTAAACAAGACATGTAGAGATATGATATTTGTCAATGTTTTTATTCTTGTTTAAAGTTGGTGGTTTGGGTCGAGGAGTTGAACTCTGCATGACAATTGGGGTTTCTTTTATATACGCTATAGTATTTTTTCGCGAGTTTCATATTTCAACTAATGTAAAATAAGTCTCAATGCTAAGTTGGTCAACGCAAGCATTTATGTGTGTTTTGATATAAATGGATTGATACTTTAGATAGGTAAAGACAACAATGAATAATGGAGTTATGAAACTCGTAAAAAGATGATAATTTAGGAGGGTTCTAAACCATTCAATATTTTTTTTTAATTTAAAGATAGTGTCAGACGTTTGTATGCACCTCAATCATTTCATTTGGTTCTTGTCACTTTTAAAGAGTAGAGGTAACTTTGTTCATCAAGACGTAAGAAAACTGGAAATAATATCACTTGAAATTTCATGATATTTGGAGCCCGTTCGGATTGACTTCGACCTACTTTTTAGTCAGTTTTTGACTTCTGGAAGTGTTTGACAAATATAAAAAATAACTTAAAATAAATAAAAAATAACTTAAAATAAGTCAAATCAAAAGTAGGTCTCCCCTGCTTATTATTTTTTGACTTAAAAGTCATTTCAGTTTGACTTTTTATTTTTGACTTAAAAGTTATTTTTTTAAGTCAATCCAAATGGACTAAACCATTAGATTTATGTTACCTTCGATGAATATAGATACTGAATAATTATTTTCACTAAAAACTTAATACGATGTGAAGAAATAATTTATTATTATTTTTTGTTATTGTCTCTTTGAACTTGAAATCTTCCTCCGTTTATTTGATGATTGGGCAATATACTTAGGTGCATAATTATTGGTGGTTGTTGACAACTATATATTAAAAAACACCTTTAAGGGAGTCCTAATCATAGATAAGATAGAAGTTTTTCTTGATAGTGTATTATATTATACTACAATATTATAATATTGTTTTTATATGATAATACATTGGAGATGATGTTGATTTCAATGAGAGTGATTAGAGTTGGCAGCATTGTAACAAAATATTGTTGAAATATTTGAATATTTTCCTTCCTATTTTTGACATTTTGTATGCGCCAATTGAGACTTTGCAGTGTCAATGAAATTAATCATTTATCTACGTTATTTAAGGGGAATAAGTCAAATGATACCATTACCAAATAAGTTCATTTTTTTTTCTTTTGTGGTTGGCAACTAAGAATTTTGTACTAATATTTTTAGTTTGAGGGTCTAGACTAGAGTACCATAGACACAACTTCCCTTTGAAAAAAATGGCTATATATGTTGGCTTTTCCACATACAATTTTTGGTATTTAATTAGCAAAATTTCATATTATGGCTTTTTTTTCCTGGGATAATAGTGGTGTTGAAGAGAGAAAACTCAGTTAGTTGACTATCTGAACTGCTATCTTGTTTGGTTCTCCGTATTATAATTCCCTTCCCATTTCCCTTACCCTCCATTTCTTTTTTTAAAAAAAAACAAAAAAAAAGTACCAAGTTAATTTAGGTATAAATTGATTATTTCATCGGATTATTACTTTTTTTTATATAAATATGGGTGTGATAATTTTACCTATAATATGATTTAGGCAAATCGAATCACCACCATATGGAATGTTGACTCTAATTATTAGAACTTTTTAAGCATGTGCACTTCTTTTCATTTGTTGGGTTATTATTTTTTCCATTTGTTACGATTTGAATCCAAGTCTGTAGTTTTATATTATGTTCATTTATTATTAGGCATATTTCTGAACTTATCATTGAATTAGAATTAATAGCAAGTAGTTTTTGTGACATTTGGTTGGTGTAAAGACCGGTTAAATAAGTTGAAGAAAAAGCTTCTCATCTTTGTAATGATTCTTAGTGATCACCAAAGTTTTTTGATGATCAATTTATTTTACTAATATTAAATATTGCGATAAATATTTTTCATTCTTAATAATATTTTAGATTTAAACTTTAGTCTTCAAAAAATAAAATCCCATTTAATAACAAATAATTTACCTCAAAATAAAATTTTCAACATAAAGTTCAATTGATTAAGCTTTAAAATAAATATCAAACATCAAATAAGATATTCAATGAATTAACATACCTTCCGACATACAGAAATCTACATAACCAGCTTATTTCAAGTAACACATGAAATGCATAAAAATGTACCAATAAAAAAACTTGATTAAATCTTCAAATTTTAAGCGTATAACATCAATTCGAACGAAAAATACATACAAAACAATTGCGATACTTTCCATGAAATAAAACATGAAAACATTTCATTTATAAAAATACAAGATAACTATTTGTGATAAAAAATAAAATACAATGCAAAAGTAGAATTGCACGGCACTTACAGGCAATGCAGTAGAGACGCAAGTGTAATTAAATACCAAAAATACCCTTATATCAAATGAAGAGTAAAAAGCACGCGATTTCTTTGTAATATATATGTGTTTCTTCTCTTTCGCATGCTCAAGTCTCAGTATATGATAAGTTTTATATGAGATAGGTCGATATGATGCACATATAATTTATCGAGGATACAATTTTAGATATAGTAGTATGACAAAGTTGATAATTAAAGTAGAAAGCTAGTAATATGTAATAGAGAAATACTTAATCTTCCCATGTTATTCAATTTTGTTATTATCTGTTTTTTTTCTTAACTTTGTTTATCATACTATCTTTTGTTGCTGACTTTTCTTCTCCATTATGTATTCATTTTAGTTTCTTTAGTTTATTTTAATTGGACATGGATACTAAAAAAATAAATAGGACTTTTTTATTTTGTGATCTTAAATTAAATAAATAGTTCATGAATTTTTGGTGATTCAAAATTTAACGTGTTTTTTGTCAAATTATTTCGGATGTCCGTTAAGACCTTAGTAATGGAGTAGTTGGTCCCAACCTGCAAACCAACCCATTTTCAAATTCAAACAAGCCCAGAACAGGTAACCCCCCATATTACTGATTTTTGTGTGCTATAGTCTATGGATTTTTGGTGATCCGAAATTTAGACGTGTTTTTTACCAAAATTTTTCATGGACATCCGTGAAGACCTTAGTAATGGAGCCAGTTGGTCCCGACGGAGAAACAAGTTCATTCTCAAGTTTAAACGAGCCCCAGAGCAGGTAAATCCCATTTTATCGATTTTCGTACACTATTGTCCATAGATTTTTGGTGATTCGGAATTTCGACGTGGTTTCTTGTCAAAATATTTTATGAATGTCCGTTAAGACCTTAGTAATGAGCCATATAGTTCTGGCGGGCAAACTAGCCCATTTTCAAGTTCAAACAAGCCAGACCTGGTAAACCTCATTTTACCGATTTTCATGTACAATAGTTCATAAATTTTTGATAATCTGAATATTCGATGTATTTTTTATCGAATTTTTTCATAGACATTCGTTAAGAGCAGAAATTAGAATAATAATTTGGTGCCTTTGAAAATCTCCGGAAACTCAATCAAGGTAGCTAATTTTATCAATAATAATAATCAATTTTAGAGCTTTTATAATTCGTGAAGATAAGTAATTGATGCAATAATTAGGAGATTTAAAACTTTCGCATACCCTATAAAAAGCAGAATAAAGTGACTGACCTCTTAGACAAAAAGAGTTTAAAACAATTATTTGATTACATAAGAATTTTGTTATTTTCTTTCGTGTTTACAAATAAGACAGTATGGATAAATATTTAAAAACAATTTTTTAAAGAAAAATTCGATTCATTGTAGTAATTTGAGAGCAACCAAACTACTCTCTTATTTTGCTATGCTGCTGCTTAAACCTTTTTGCAAATTTTATCCCGTTAACCAAAAATATAAAAAATATCTTTTAAAAAAATTGTCATATTAAATCTTCAAATTTTAACTGTATTACATAAATTAGAACGAAAAATATATATAAAACAATCGCATATTTTCCACTAACATAAACACATGAAAACATTTCATTTATAAAAATACAAGATAACTCTTTGTGATAAAAACTAAAATACAATGCAAAAGTAGAATTGCGGCACTTACAGGCAATGCAGTAGGGACATAAGTGTAATTAAATATAAAAAATGCCCTTATATTAAATAAAATGTAAAACCCGTCTGTGGCATGCGATTTTTGTGTAATATATGTGTTTCTTCTCTTTTACATGCTCAAGTTTCAGTTTATGATAGGTTTTATACGAGGCATAAGTAAGTCGATATGATATAAATAAAATTTATCGAGGACATGACTCTAAAATAAAATGATATGATAAAGTCGATAATTAAAGTAAAAACTAAAGCTAGTAATAGGTAATCGATAATTATTTAGTTTTCCTCGTATTCTTCGATTTAATTATTACCTGTTTTTTTCTTAACTTTGTTTATCATATTATTTTTTGTTGTTGACTTTTTTTCTCCATTCATTTTAGTTTCTTTGGTTAATTTTAATTTGACATGGGTATTAAAAAAAAGATTTTTGAATTTGTGATCTTAAATTAAACATATATTTCATGGATTTTTGGTGATCCGAAATTTCGATGTGTTTTTTGTCAAATTTTTTCATGGACGTTTGTTAAGACCTTAGTAATGGAGTCAGTTGATTCGGACGGGCAAACCGACCCATTTTCAAGTTCAAACGAGTCCAGAGCAGGTATATCCATATTTTACCAATTTTGTGTGCTATATTCCATGAATTTTTGGTAATATGGAATTTCGACGTGTATTTTATTGGTCCCGACGGACAAACCGGCCCACTCAAATTCAAACGAGCCTCAGAGCAGGTAAAACCCCATTTTACCGATTTATGTGTGCTAAGTCTATCGATTTTTGGTGATCCAGAAATTTGACATGTTTTTAGCCCAAAACTTCATGGATGTCCGTTAAGACCTTCGTAATGGAGCCAGTTGGTCCCCGACGGATAAACTGACCTATTTTTAAGTCCAAACGAGTCAGAGCAAATAAACCCTCATTTTATCAATTTTCTTGTATTATAGTTCATAAATTTTCGATGATTCAAACTTCGGAC